CTACCCACACCACACCATCTAGCCACACCACACCATCTACCCACACCACACCAACTACCCACACCAAAACTAACCACCCACACCAAACAACCACCCACACACACCATCTACCCACACCACACCAACCACCCACACCACACCAACCACCCACAAACAACCACACACCACACCCACAACCACCAACACACCCACACCACACCAACTACCCACACCCACACCAACTACCCACACCACCAACCACCCCAAAACCATCTACCCACACCACACCAACACCCACACCACACCAACCACCCACACCACACCAACCACCCACACCAACCAACCACCACACCACCAACCACCCACACCACACCAACCACCCACACCACACACCATCTACCCACACCACACCAACTACCACACCACCAACTACCCACACCACACCAACCACCCACACCACACAACACCACACCACACCAACTACCCACACCACACCACAACACCACACCACACCCACACCTCACCAACTACCCACACCACACCAACTACCCACACCACACCAACTACCCACACACACCAACTACCCACACCTCACCAACCACCCACACCACACCATATATTTCAATTCAAGATTAACCTAACCTAACCCCTCCCAAGGTGGCGTTTAATCTTCAGGTGGTCCATTTACTCCTATTTAAGAAAACAACAAAGGCATTATGCACTGTAAATAGCAAAAAAAAAAAAAAAAAAAAATATATCTAAAAAAAAAATCATTAGAGTAATTAGTTCGTATAAATGCATTACTTTCTCAAACATGAAAAGTAATTATTACATGAAACGAAACTTTTACTAACAAATTCGTATGTCTATACCACGAACTACCGACACACACACACACAATACTTACACATTATTTTATATTAAGCACTGAAGAAAATATATATATCCCAAATTATAGACCGGAACCGTATATAATTTAGGACACACGTATAATCTCGCTTTACCAATGGATTATATACCTCCACGTATCATTACACGCTCAAAACACCTGTAGATTATATCACAACTCAGGCGAATAATGGAGTATTGATTTGATAAGCCATTAACATTGACTTCGGTAACTTAGGTCAAGCTGAGGTATATACTTATGGTCAAGCTGGGGTATACTTATGGTCAAGCTGGGGTATATTTTAGGTTAAGCTGAGGTCTACTTATGGTCAAGCTTAGGTATACTTATGATCAAGCTGGGGTATATTTTAGGTTAAGCTGAGGTCTACTTATGGTCAAGCTTAGGTATACTTATGATCAAGCTGAGGTATATACTTTAGGTCAAGCTTAGGGGTATATTTTAGGTCAAGAATAAGAGAGGAATGGAGTATATTCCTTCAATTTACGGTATAATCCAGTTTATTCTATTAACCCATATTCCAACTATATTGAAGGTAATTTGTATTATATTTAAGGTAACTGTAACCAATTATATTACTGATATATTTAGAGTATAAGGTTATATATTACAGTATACTCAAGGTAAGTTATGTAAAAACTAAGGTATATTTTATTACCTTTCAATCCACAAATTGCATTCATTAAAATCATTTCTTATTATATTTTATTAAGTTAATCCCCCCAGGTAAGGTAATCAATCCCCCCCAGGTGAGGTAATCAATCCCCCCAGGTGAAGTAATGAATCCCCCCCAGGTGAGGTAATGAATCCCCCAGGTAAGGCAATGAATCCCCCCAGGTGAGGTAAAGAATCCCCCAGGTAAGGCAATGAATCCCCCAGGTGAGACAAAGCTTCCACTATCGTCACTCCCTGTTCATTATTATCAAGCTTTTCGTCAGTTTTTGCCTCACTAAAGCTTAATAACGTATCTCTGTGTGTGCCAAGTCTTTCAATACACTGGTAGAGTTTAATAAGAAGCGATCCATTCTCTGAGAGGGAGGGATGACACACCTGGAAACCGTTCAGTAGGATGGAGGTACCGTACTACTACTACTGCTACTGCTGCTACTACTACACACGTCATATCCTAGAGGTAATGACGTAATGGCAGAAATTATGACGTCATGACACTGTAAACAACAACAGCAACTTTCATAAACCTCACATCTATATTGTTTCCTTCCTTCCTTCCTTCCTTCTTCCTCCCTTCCCTCCTTCCTTCCTTCCTTCCTTCCTTCCTTCCTCCTTCCTTCTCCTTCCCTCCTTCAAGATATTGTTTCCCGATATTTAAACAAGAATTCTTTTGTGTAGGATTTTCTTTTTAATACAATCCCAAACTTTCTAATTAAAAGGTTTGTCATTCATCTAAGTCTATTAAACATTCTATTGTCATCACTACATAGAAATAGATAGATAGATAGATAGAAATAGAGAAATAAGCTACTGACAAATAAACTAAATACAGATAAATAGCGAGTTTGAAAATAATGTTCTTGATGCTGTTTTTGTTTAAGTATATTTGGGCTTCAACAACTAAAGTCTTACTACACTCGAGTCACTTACAAAAACAACATACAACAGCAATTTAACATTAACAAACACCTATAACTATTAACTGCCTTTAAAACTTTCTCTCGTTACCTATTTAACACTGTACATACGTCACATATGCTACTAACAACAGGCAGAGGTGTGTGTCTGGGGGTCACCTGAAGATTAACCACCCTAACGCTATTTGGTGAGGTTACATTAAGTTAGGTTAGTGGAACTTTAACTTAATACTCTTATGGTTAATGTCCCCCCCCCCCACCCCGTTATAACCTGTACAGTACAAATCAGCTGCAGTGTTACAACCTCCAGAATTACAACCGATTTTGTATTTTGGTTTTACTGTATCTTGTGTTAAAAGAATCGAATAGGTTTGTTTATGGGTCAATTGATGTTAGTAATTGCAAACCTGAAGAGTACACACCTGTAAATAACCCCCACACCTGTACAGAAATTATACCTACAAAAATCCCCACATCTGAATACACTACACACCTACAATAGCCCCCACACACCTACAATAACTCCACACACATCTGAAGACAACGCACCTTACCTAACCCCCACATTCCACACCTGAACTTAACGCACCCACAAATAAAAATATCTACCTAAATGCCACACTCTTCCACCTACCCCAACTGCACCACAACACTTCGTCGTTAGCCATATCCTGTAGGCGACGTAGGCAGGCAGGCAGTCCAGTACGAGTCGATCTTTACCGTTCGCCCGCCCAGACTCATTCAGAACGGACCAATCACAGATAAAACAATCCAGCCGAAGAGAAACCACTGGTCGCTAAATTCTCCTCCCAACACCGTATATAAAAGGATTGGATGCCAACTCTTAAACATGGAGAGTTAATAAAAAAAATCTAATCTTAATTCATTGTAGTTTTAAAGATAGGATCGGGTAGCCTTTACTGTGGGTACAATAGATTTCGATACTGATCGTATTATTGTTCATGGATGGAGGAGTGGATTCAGTAAGTCTCGTCAACGTGGAATACATGGGATCGAATAGTCTTACAGGAAGGAAAAATCAAGAATAGGTAAGCATCTTTAACAAAGGATCCAACCCTCTTTCCTCACGTGGGATCCGATCCATCGCCACGTGGTTAAGAAACTCGATCCTATACCTACCATATGCTAGGGAAAAAAAAAAACCTATAGGCTGAGCATCACATCCCGTATCGTAAACAAGCTTCAAAGAGAGTTAAGTCCTTTTATACCTCGTGGAAGAGACTATAAAATCCTATCCCTTTTATTCTAACGTCAAATAAATAAGATTAAACCCCCTACTCCCTCCCTAGGATTAACTACAACCACCAAACAGCATATATAGTCCTAACAAACCCCCCCCCGCCAGACAGAGACATTTACCCCGACACCAAAGCTCCGATGGTTGTAAATAATGGTGTTGCGTTTGGGAGTGAATCAGTTTCTAGGTTTATCTCTTGAAGCGAGACTCGGAAAGGTCAGCTCGTGAACTTCAGGGAGGCTTAAGGTCAGCTCGTGAACTTCAGGGAGGCTTAGCAAGATCAGAACGTGCACTTCAGGTAAGCTCATGAACTTCAGGGAGCTTAGCAAGGTCAGAACGTGAACTTCAGGAAGGTTTAAGGCCAGATCATGAACTTCAGGGTGATTCAGGTCAGCTCATGAACTTCAGGGAGACTCACATTCCAAGCGGGACTTCACAAGGTCAACACATACACTTCAGGGCAGTTAGTTTACTTGTGAAGCGAGTCTTTTAATACATGAACTTCAGCGCAAGTTAAAGAACAACACTATGGACTAATGACTGTTGAACGACGAGTGAAAGAAACAGTTACTGAAGAAATAATGTAACAGTAAAACACACATACACACACACACAACGTTACTTTTTGGTACTGTGGTAACTTAAAACATATTAAATCGTTCAACACATAAAATACAAACGCACTTAACATTCAAGATAAACAAACAAACAAACATCACATAATTTATTACCAACTACGTAAAAAATAAATAAATAAAACTCTTTAAAGACTTTGTTGCTGAGTTTCATCAGTTTATATCCAGTGAGAGAAGCTTTCCTCACTACCGTTTACTAGTTGAACCATTTTAAATCATTCCTCGCTTAATATCACAACCTACGTAACATCCTATTTTAATAACCACCGCACTAATACCTATTATTTATTACAACCTAAGAGATGGCAAAGTTGTTCTTGAGCCTCGCGTAACGATTAGTTTTTTGGGGGAAGGAAATGGAACTGCTGTAACAATTTCTGGTCCGGATGCTTGTTCATGACCTGAGAGAGGGAGGGGGGGAGGGACATGGTGGCTACGTGGTTGTGTAATTTGCTTCCGTTATCACCTAGTTATCAATCACCCCCTCCCCCCAGAGCGTCATGCAGGGGAATATTTCTACCGGGTGTGGGGTCACGTCTGGAGGGAGGGAGGGAGGGTATGGACGACGTACCTAGCCAAGGGGGCCTATCCTGGGTGTCAAGTTTCAGGCCTACACGGTAGAGAACACGCACCTGTCGCGGTAGAGGAGGCAGATCCGCTCCTTGGGGACACGGAGACGCTTGGAGACCAGCCGCCGGAGGAACTCGATGGAATCCGTGGCGGCGACCCGGAGTTCGAACTGGCCGCCGGTGGTCGGGGTGACATGTACGCCCACCATCTGCAGGGTCCTCCCGCAGGCGCATCGATTGTCCTCCCCAAGGCCACTACCACCACCGCTGCTGCTTCCTCCGCCACCTCGCTCCATCACTACGCACTATTGCTACACATCCACAGACTAAAGAGCCTTTAGAGAAAACAAAGTTGGATGGCCACACCTGAGGCAGCAGCGTCCTACAGTCACACTGGTTCAACCCAGACTGCCGCGGTCACGGAATGGAGGTCGGAACACAGCGCTCGAGGTACCACTTACTGTTTATTTACTATTATTATACCGCCACCCACTTATTGTACCCCGTACTTTAATACATCACCTTTACTTAAATTATATTCCTAACACATTAAATAACTTTCGGTCTACAAAAAGAGTCAATTTAAAAAACGCTGCAAATAACATACATATCTAAGGTCTGGTAGCGCAGCACACTCCAAACAGCTGAGCAGTGAGGATGCTACCTCTTAAATATTTCCTAATTCTTCCTTACTCATTTACCCATCTCTTACGATCACACAAATAAAGAAATCCATCGCTATTGTACCTTACATCATGAGTGATATTTATAGTGTAGATCCCACGTACCATATGGGCTAGGTACGTTTAGCGTGGTGGCCCAAAGAATTTCAATAGTTTTCGTGCGTTTTCTTCTGCCTGTCTCACACTTCGCTCAGGGTCGCCGTCTGGCTGAGGAGATAGAGAGCAAAAGAACCCTGCTTATCACCCTCTCTTTATTTATTCTTTCGTCTTCTTCTAGAACTAGGGAGTGAAATGGAAATGAATGTCTAATGATTCACCCGTTGTAAGTTTTGACAGTGGTTGAGGGGTGACGCTCTGCCTGGTAGGAGGGAGTCTCGTTCAACATCTGCCTTTAATACATGAACGAACATAAATACACATTAATGTGAGTACGACGTGCTACCATGTCAGCTGCTCAGTACCTTCAGGGAGGAGTGATACAACGCCACCTAGAAGGTTCTCAAGATCACCTCAAGAAACTCTACCCTAGTTAATTTCACCTGAAGAATAACCTAACCTAACCTAACCCAACACAACCTAACCCAACCCAACCTAACCCAACCCAACCTAACCTAACCTAACCTAACCCAACACAACCTAACCCAACCCAACCTAACCCAACCCAACCTAACCCAACCCAACCCAACCTAACCTAACCTAACCTAACCCAACACAACCTAACCCAACCCAACCTAACCCAACCCAACCTAAGCTAAGCTGGAAACTCAGCGTGTCAGCGGGTGAACTACTGTACACACTCACCTAACAAGTGGTAACGAGGTCATTTGCTAGTTTACGGAGGTTATCAGTAACGCTTTGAAGGTTAGGTTTGGTACCTTATTATTATCCAGTGTGTGTGTGTGTGTGTGTGTGTGTGAACTCGCTAGACCCGACCTTCCTGACCTGAGAGATAATGTTGTTAGCACGTGAGGGAAGCTTTTTCTATGTGTGTGCGTGCGTGTGTGTGTGTGTGTGTGTGTGAACTCGCTAGACCCGACCTTCCTGACCTGAGAGATAATGTTGTTAGCACGTGAGGGAAGCTTTTTCTGTCTGTGTGTGTGTGTAAATTAACTTTAGCCTATGAGACAAAGATTCGTTGTTGTTCATAGTGTGTTTGCTGACGTGATAGGAGGTCAAGCAGTCCACACACACACACACACACATAAAACACATACATACACAAATACGAACTCATGAACACACACACACACACACACAAAACACCGCTTGTTGGGTTCAGTCATCACTAAGGCTTAACGTCACGCTAACACACATTTTCAGATTATCCTTAAACGTAGTCATCACAGACACATAATAACGCTATGCCACACACGCAACCACGCACATGTACACAAACACATAGATATATACACACGCATATACACGCACACACACACACACATGCCTTCATTGCCCTCCAGAAAAGTTAAGCAACACAGGGGTCACTCATGTGTGTGTGTGTGATCAAATTCTTGTCAGATTAGTAATACACACACACACACATACATACACACACACACATTCTCTATCATTCTACGGGTCTACAGTGTCTCTCTGTCTCTCTCCCACCCCCCTCTCTCTCTCTCCCACCCCCTCCACCCCCTCTCTCTCCCACCCCATCATCTCTACCACCCCATTCCTCTCCTCACCCTCCTCACTCTCTCTTCTCCCCCTCTCTCTCTACTCAATTCTCTCTCTCCCATCCCCCTACCACCTCTCTCTCTCCCACCCCCCCCTCTCCCCTACCACCCCCTCTCTCTCTTCCCTCTCTCTCTCTCTACCACCCTCTCTCTCTCTCTCCCCTCTCCACCCCCTCTCTACCACCCCCTCTCTCCCACCAACTCTCTCTCCCACCCCTCTCTCCCACCCCCCTCTCTCTCTCTCTACCACCCCATCCCCCTCTCACCAACACCAAAAGAACCACCGTTAGCTTTTCTTAATATATTTTTTTCCAATCGTCTTTTCTCCTGTGTGTTTCATTCTCTCGGTTATTCTTCAGTTGTCTCTTCCATTGTTCGTGTTCCTGGAGGATACGCTCTGTCTCCTGTCACCTGAACGAAACTGTGTGGGTCCTCTTCCTCCTTCCTTCTTCTTACTTTGCCTCTTCCTTCTTCCTTCTTCTTAGTTTGCCTCTTCCTCCTTCTATTTATCTTCTGCCTTTTCTATTTTTCCATTCTTTTTTCTTTTCTTTCTTCTTCTTTTCTCTTTTCCTTCTTCTTTCACCACCTCCAACTCTCCTTCCTCCTCTTCCCCTCTCCTTCCTCCTCCTCTTCTCCTTCTTCCTCCTCTATTCCTCTTCCCTCAGGTGGGTGGAAACGGCATCAGCTTCGTGACAAGGCAAATAATCACAGCTGTTGAGTCATGTAAGGAAGGAGGAGGAGGAGGAGGAGGAGGAGTTGGGAGAGGAGGAAGAGGATGGGGAGGAGGAGGAGAAAGAGGCTAAAGAGAACAACAACAAAAACAAAATAATAATAGTGAAAATTTCAGAAAAAAATTACAATACTCTTTCCATTTTTTTTACAAACAAACAAACGCAATGAAATAAAAAGAATAAAAAAGAATAAAAATACACCAATAAAACTAATATTTAATTCCTACCTGAAGAAATTTCATCTTGGATTCCTTATGCAGACACGAATTTTGGTGGGTTGGGTCTGGATTGGGTCTTCCTGGGTTGGGTCTAGATTGGGTCTGGGTTGGGTCTTCCTGGGTTGAGTCTGGGTTGGGATCTTCCTGGATTGGGTCTTCCTGGGTTGGGTCTGGGTTGGGTCTGGGTTGGGTCTTCCTGGGTTGGGTCTTCCTCTTACTGCGTCTCCGTCACCACACAAACGAAGATCTTTTCACACCTTCCCCGTTACTGTCAGTTCATTTAGAGGTCACGGCTGCCACATCTCACTGTCACCAAAGTCAAAATATACATTAACTTTCTTACGAGGTATATATTTTTTTCTTCTGAAGTTTCTGAATAGTTTTAAAGAAGTTATATGTTGAGTTAAAATATCCTGTTTAGTTTATAAATGGTGGATGATCTTTTAGTAACACACACACACACACACACACACACACACACACACACACACACACACACACACACACACACACACACACCATGTCTTGTTATAAGTGAATTACCCAAAAAATCAAAGCATTATTCTCAAACCTAACACTAACCTAACCTAACACTAACCTAACTTTATCCCTTCAAAACAACACAACCTTATCCACAACTGCTTATCTTGTTTTGTTTTTATCCCCACAATCCGTGTTTACAATCGCGTTACAATGTTGTTTTATAACCAAGTATTAAACAGAAGTGGAACCAGGACGCTACCCTGAGGCACTCCCCTCACTCGTGCTAATGTTGACACCTTTACCACGACCTTCATCTGTAGACAGACACTGTAGTAATATCTGATGCTCTTATTTATCCATCTGTCTATATACAATATACAGTATATCCAGCTATCTAACTCTGCATCCATCCATATATCCACCCATTAAAATCTCTATCTATCCATCCATCGACCCACCCATCCATCCACCCAACCCTCTATCTATCTCAATATTCCCGTATAAAGATTCTGAATCGGATCCCCTAAACACGATACCTAATATCTAAGGGAATCACACACCACATACTGCGTCTCCCCCTCACCTGCCTTCCCTCCCGCGGGGTGCTGGGTCCTCTTGAAAGTTTACGAAGAGTCTTAGTGGTAAACAGAACACTTTAGGATAGCAGTAATACATACATATATATATATATATATATATATATATATATATATATATATATATATATATCTTGATAAATCATACAAAATGGAATATATATATATATATATATATATATATATATATATATATATATATATATATATATATATATATATATATATATATATACATCATAAGAACGGCCTCATTCCAACCTGTGTTCACTCCTTAACAATCTCACCTTTGTACTGTAACTGCTGAAATGCCTTGTTAAGTGACCCCCTCCCCCCTTGTTGTTATCGTTATCTATGTATCACTTATGTCATTTGTGTATTTTTTTTAGTTTATGACTGCTGTATTTTTTAATAAATTGGGTTATTATTGTAGTTATTATTATTATTATTATTATTATTATTATTATTATTGTCGTTGTTGTTTTGTTGGGTTTTATTATTATTATTGTTGTTATTATTATTATCACCATTATTATCATTATCATCTCTCCTTCAGCCACTCTCACCAAGTCAACCAAACATAAACATTCCATAACTTCTTTGTTGGACGCAGCAATGCTCTAACGCTAGGGTGCACAGTAAACTAGCCATCACACTGTAAAGGGCTCATGTGAACAAGTGTTGCTCCCACATAATAAACTCTACGGTGTTAGGTCGTCCAAAATCACCCCGGGAACTGACTGAATGTTTGTCTATACCGAAGTGTACGGAGTTAACATCTTTAAGAGCAAATATACACATATACATATATACATACATACATCATCTTTATACTGTATACGCACACAGAGGCGTACCTCAATACCCAAGTGCTAAAACAATATAAACTGACAGACAGACAACTAGATTAATGAAATAATTTTGTTTTCCAGTCAATATATTTGGGAGAGAGAGAGAGAGAGAGAGAGAGACTACATAACAACTGCTCTAGACCGCTTACTCTCAGC